TGAATTTAAGGAGCAAAATCCACAATTATGGCAGACTTTCCAAACTTAACTTTTTGACCTTGTTCTCAATGAAAGATTTGAGGCATACTGAGCTGCTGCCCTCTTGAGTGCCCACCCTATATGGCTACAGTGGTCTTTCCAGGACTGGTGATCTTGGAATATGAGATCTGCTTTATTTGTTTTCAGAGTGGTCCGATATTGCTGCATTGCTTGCCAAGGGAAGTACCCCTCTGCTCTTGGAATGGGGTGGTGTACCACACAGATTTTAAAAGCTGCTGGTGTGCAGCATGGTTACACTTCTAATCCCTACCCAGGCAGTAGCCCGCTACTCGGATAGCAGGACTGCAGGCCATGCCAACATCCTGTATCAGAGCTGATGCCGACATCGGCTCAGATATATTCCTCCAGCAGAGGCTAAACCTGCTCTTACACCTCGAGGTGGAGCTGTGCTTTGTATACTCACTTCTCACTCTTCAGATCCTTTCTGCATCTGTCCAGACTTCATTAACTAGCTGAATGTTGTAATTTTCTTCCCCTCCAAGTGCTTTCTGGGGGTGTGAGTTGGTCAACTCTTAGTTACAGTGTTACTTCCAAACCTTGGACATACTGTAGCACTAAAATGCTAGTAGTGCTTTTTAAAAGTGTGGAGAGGGCTGCCACCAACTGCCAGAGCCCAGGGAACCTGCTGGTAGCTATGCCTTTTACCTAGTCAGCCTGCTGGCAACTGAGTACAAGTTGGATATTCTTGTCCCATTTTAGCTGACTTATTTGTTCAGCTCAGGGAAGCTCCCAGTCCTGAGAAACTTCAGACCCAGGTGCCTTCAGTCCCTGCCTTTAGGAAACACTCATGCTGCTGGGTGATCTCAGCTTCAGTGCTTTCCAGGCATCTGGTTCCAGATCCATCCAGTCGCTTTCTGTAGCAACCAGTAGAGGTTCATGGCACTGATGCTGTTACAGGAGGTGGGAATGTCAACGCATGATCAGTGTCCCTTTGGAAGCCAGAGAAGTGGGTATTATATCTACCTGTGCCTCTTGTTCCTCTTAAGCCTGAACAAAGCATTGAACATGGCAGATAAGGAGGCTTTTTTTGTGGGACAGACAAGGGAGGTACTTTGTACTGCACTGGGCACTTACGTAGGCAATTCCCAGGGAAGCGTAAAGCTCTTTGCATCTTAGATGTTACAATAATGGCTCTGCTTGCTCAAGGAGTGGCGGTGTCTGTGGCAAGAGCATGTGTGAAGCCAAGCCACTGCTGGTTTAAAGCTGAGATCGTGTACTGCCACCCTGTGGGCCCGATGCAAGGCTGCTGGGGCAGGACTCGCTTCTGCATTCTGCAGTTGTTCTGGTGGAAGTGGCAGAATTAACAAGGGTATAACTTTATACAGGGCCCAGACTTAAGATGCCTGCAGTCCTGGGTGCCTTGTACTTCTCATAGGCTGGGCATCTGTGCAATGGTAAACATACAGGGCTTGCTTTAGGAATGGCAATGTGAAGAGTCTACTCTGCATGGGAACATTACTGGGAGCAGTATTTAGCCTATCTGTCACTCCCTCTGCTCTACCCTGTATTTGTGTGGTGCATAATGGGCCAAGTATGAAAAGCCACTTCATTGCTAGGAGTGCTGGATTTCCTGAGGGGAGCTAAAGGTCAAAGACCCTCATCTTGTTTGTGCTAATTAGCTACCTAATTAATGATGAGCTGCCCTGCTTTGTTTCTGTCCTGAGGTAGCCTTAAGCCTAACCTGCCTCTTTCTCCCTTCCTCCCTTTTCTTGCTATTGACCTGCTTGCCTGTTAACCCTGTGTGCACCACACTTGCTGCTATACATCTACTTCTTGACTTTCTGCGTGTGACTGGACCCTGCCTGTAGCATCAGGTAGGAAACCTCCCTGTGCCTCTCAACACAATCCTTAGTAGTCTTAGGAGTCTTAGAGCCTGGGTGCCGTTAGGTGCATGTTAGGTCAGTGCTGGTGTGTAATATTGCAGTTGTTAAAAAGCAGTCCTTGGGGATCACCTGTCTCATGGCCCTAGGGTTTCATGTTGGATAAGGGTGTGAACTGGCCTGTCAGCTGCTTCTCTGCTTAGCATGGGTTGATGTGACAGTCTAAGACTTGATTTGAATGTCATCGGTGGAGCCTGTGCCTCCCTGCACCTAGATGTAGCCTAATGGACTAAGTAACAAAATGGAAGAACCTTTCCTGCTGTTGTTGTTGTTAACAATTTTAGTTAGGCGTAGGATATGCCATTTTGAGGAGAGAGTGATCAAATTGTGGGGGGTGTGACAGCACCCATATCTAAGTGTCAAAAACAGTTGTGTGTAATAAATGTCAAGCGCTTGCTCTTAGACTTAGAGGAAGCTTTCTTAGTCTTTGAGTTTATCTAGAGGTCTAAGATGTCACTTCTTCCCTTCAGACTAAGGAGGAGCAGTCCCAGATCACCAGCCAGGTGACTGGACAGATTGGATGGAGACGTGAAGGGATCAAATATCGTCGCAATGAACTCTTTCTTGATGTGCTGGAGAGTGTGAATCTCTTGATGTCCCCCCAGGGTAAGTAGGAGGTGTAGAGCTGGCATCCTTCTCCCCTTCCAGGTTTGTGAATGTGGACTTCTGTAAGTCTTCTGAACTGTGCTCTTCTCTACATCAGGTCAGGTTTTGAGTGCCCATGTCTCTGGCAGAGTGGTGATGAAGAGTTATCTGAGTGGAATGCCAGAGTGCAAGTTTGGCATGAATGACAAGATTGTCATTGAAAAACAGGGCAAAGGGACGGCGGATGAAACGGGGAAAAGGTAAGAGTCGTTGGGGTAAAAGCTACTTGTCGCCAGGGACTCTTATAAAAGGACAGCACTTAGTAGCTTTTCTGATCTGACAGACAAAGCTCATCTCTTCTTCCCTTCAGCTATTACTGCTAATTTTTCCTTGGGTAGGTCAATTGCTGTGCTACCAGCCTGAGGCCCTCAATACAGAGGGCTTCTCTGCAGCAGGGCTAATGTGAGCAGGTGGAATATCATCTTTGGTGTCTGACTTCACAGCTATACATGGGCAAGTGCCAGGAGCTCTTCAAGTATTACAATTCAAACATAGTGTTAAATGTGGAGTTCTCGCAGCTGGAAATGCTTCCCCAAGATGAATTCTGCTGGACCTTGTGTCTCTTAGCAGTTCTAGTCAGAGACTTACTGACAGGCTGCAGTAGTAGTGCTCCTTAAGAACAGTGAAGGAACCCCTCTGACCATAGCCTGTGCTACTCAGACTGTTCCAACAGATTAGTACTGGGTAAGCCCCTCCTGCTGACATACAGGTGGTTGGTGGCCGTGTGGATTGGAGGCTCATCCCTTCCAGGAGCCCAGTTACCTTCCTTCCCAGCTGCACCTCAGTCAGTACCCACATTGAAGCTGAAAACAGGTCTTAGGCTTTTTCCAGCCTTCCTGCTTGGGTTGAAGAGATAAAAGCAAAGGGACTGCCACTTTTCTCCCATTAACTGTTTGCAATTCAACTGTGTTTCTCTTGGTTGTTTCTTTTGTTTTTTTTGCTGACCCCCAGTGAATTGGGAAGGTAGATAATCTGCTTCAGCTGTGTGTGCACTCTGCTCTTCCCTTGTCTCTTGCTTCATGTGACTTGTGCATGTAACTCAGATCTCTGACACTTTCCATGATGGTTCCTGTAAATGGAGCTGAGCTGCTATTTGCCTTTTCTCTCAGAACCAAGCCAAGAGCTATCACTTCACTGTCACTTTTAAGCCATCTTTCCTGTACCTGAATCTAGCTAGTAAAATGTGTGAACCTCAGGTGGCTGCCCAGTGGGGATATACTCTAGTGAAAATGCCATCTGTGTAGGCCTCTGAAGAGTCAGGAACACTGTCCAAAAGCTGTGCTGTGAGTGCTTTTTGCCTGTAAATGTGCTATTTTCTCAAGTTACAGAAGCAAGATGGATGGGGACTCTTGCTGGGTGATTCTCTGGTGGGCAAAAGCTTGGGGATGTTACTGTCAAAAAGCATTTAGTTCTGAGGTAACCAAAAGGGACAGCTGCTCCCATTCCTTTTCAGCATCTAGCATGTGGCAACACCAAACCCTAAGTAATGTGGCCTGAGACCTGGAGCAATGCTAGGCAGCAGGGCTTTCCCAGCAGTCTTCCAAAGGAACAGGATCCAGTCAGCTGATGTTGGCTGTCTTCTGGGCAACAGATTAGGAAAGACTAACTCCCACTTAAAGAAGCACAAACTACAGCACTGGGTTTTGTAACTAAACAGCCAGTCAGCCTGGGGTCAGTCTGCTTTCCATTTGTGCAGGTAGTGGTGGTTCCCAGGGCAGCTGAACCTGCCTGTGGTGCTTATAATATCTTGGCGCACTTGCACTGTTGTCCTTTTGCTCCCAGCAATTGGGGCAGCCCTAGGTATCACAATGCTACGTTGCTGCCTCTTCTGTTGCTACTGCCTTCTCATTTTCTGGTGCCTCACGGTAGCTGAGAGTTCTTGGCTGACCTCAGGATCTGTAGCAAGGAAGGCATACTGCAAGGCTAGAACCCTGCACAAGTTCAGTGCTGGCAGGTTAGGCTAGTGTGCCTAGATGGGACGAATGGTGGCTATGTAGATTTTTTTTAGGAGTGAGAGATATGAACTTTTATGGTATAATATTGTGGTCTTGCAAATCGACTCAGAATCAAACCACCTGCTAGCAGTGTGGAAATCAACAGCTGTTGAAGAGATTTCTGAACAGGAAGACCCTGAACCTAGCATCTCCTGGCTGTGTGGCAGTGAGATAGATAGCTTTGTGGACAGGAAAGTGTTTTCTCTCCTTTGAACTATGCTGTGAGAAGACTTGGGCTAGCAGAGTTGCTTTTGCGGTACTGAGGTGCTGCTGGCAGGCAGACCCAAGCATTCTGTTGCTGGCGATGACAGAAGGGTGCTCCTCCAATCTCTCTCCTCTTTGGGGAGAGGAGGGAGAGAATTCTTTTAAAAAAGCTTCCTGAAATATGACTCTTGTGGTGGTGAAACAAGGAAAGTCTGAGCCAAGAGGCTGCTGTGCCCTAAATCTCTCCCTGCCTCCCTGTTTCCTGGACACCTGCGATGGCAACGTGCTCTGTAGAGTAGTTTCTGCCTGCGCAGACTTTGGCTGCACCAAGATACCAGGGCTGCAGCTTGCACTTGTCTAATAGTCTCTTGTGTTTTTAGCGGCAAACAGTCAATCGCCATTGACGACTGCACTTTCCACCAGTGTGTGAGGCTCAGCAAGTTTGATTCAGAGAGGAGCATCAGCTTCATTCCACCAGATGGAGAATTTGAGCTCATGAGGTACGGTGAGGGGGGATGATCAGGCTGGTGTTGACAGCTGCGTGCTGCTACAGTAGTGTTGCCACTCTCAGGCAGACTTGCAGCCCCTGAGCACCTAACAAATATGCACTTGCCGCCTTTCTTTTCAGAGTGGAATCTCTAGGGTGTCCCACAAATCCTTCTGTTACAAATGTGGTAGAAGCCCAGCTCTATGGGTTTCTTTGCTACAACCGTAATGTTGGATGTGGGTTTCCTTACCTTTTAGTTTGCTGTATCTGGATTTTTTAGTGCTTAAAACCAGTGTCCTTGAACAGGGTCATTGGCAGGAACCAGGTATAAAACTTGGGACCCACTAACCCATCACTGCCCTAGGGCAGATCTTATGGCTGCTTCCTCCTGGGATGGCTCCATTTCTGGCTGATGTTTCTAAGCTGTTGCCTGTACGCACAGGCTGTCTCTCTAGGAAGGTGGTACAATTTGAGACCCTAAGGTATTTAACTCCTCCTCAGAGTTCACTGTTGCTTCTATCCCTGCAGATACCGAACCACTAAGGACATTATCCTTCCCTTCCGTGTGATTCCTCTGGTGCGGGAGGTGGGTCGGACCAAGCTGGAAGTGAAGGTGGTGATCAAATCAAATTTCAAACCTTCCTTGCTGGCCCAGAAGATAGAGGTAAAAGAATAAAAACCTATGGTCTCTTGTGCCTGGGAACTGTTCCTCTACCTTATGTCCCCTGCTATGGAGTCCTCAAACTGGTACAGGACTAAGAGTGAACCGAATGCCCTGCAGATGCGTGGTGCTGCTGTGCTGTGGAAGGGAACTGCTGTAGGGTAGAGAGGTGGAAGTTGTTTTCAGTTGTGCAGCCACCTCGGCAGAGGCTTAATTTTCTGCAGCAACTGTTCACTTAATGTTTTTGGTCACTATGGAAAGTTCATGTTCTTCTGTCTGCATGATCTGGTGGTATGTCAGACAGGCAGCAGGCTATGAGCTATGTTAGACAGGCTGGCTAAGGGTGGCTTTGCAGTTTAGTCCCCTTCAGGGAAAGGCTTACTGCTGCAAAGGTAGGCTGTCCAGAACCTGGTGCAACTAGAGCTCCCTGGCCAGCCTGGCGTTCTTCCTGAGCTCGCCTGCCCGACACTAGCCAGGTTTCCTGAAGGTTGAACTGGAGACCTCTGCCTTGTTCCTCGCCGACTGTTGTGGATTCTGAAAATGTGTGAGCTTTTACTTCAGAGCAAGAAACTGGAGAGCTAGCCTAGGATGTCTTGTGGTAGCTGATGTTCTCTGGGTCCCGAGATGGGAGAGAGAAAGCCAAGGGGTCCAGGACAGGCGGTCTTCCCCTGAGATTGCACAGAGTGCCCAGGCTGCAGTCTCTTTGCCCCTGCTCACCAGACTCTGCCTTCTAGGTCCGGATCCCAACACCCCTCAATACCAGTGGAGTGCAAGTCATCTGTATGAAAGGGAAGGCAAAGTACAAGGCCAGTGAGAATGCCATCGTCTGGAAGTGAGTGAGCGTGTTGGGTCTGGGTGCTGCAGGGGCAGGGTTTGGGCAGGCAGCACCTGTTCAGTGCTCCTGTCTGCCCATGTGGTGAAAGGGAGAATAAACTTGGGCACCTCCTCACTTCTGAGCTTTCTCTGGTAGGATAAAACGTATGGCTGGAATGAAGGAATCCCAGATCAGTGCGGAGATTGAATTGTTGCCCACCAATGACAAGAAGAAGTGGGCTCGGCCCCCAATCTCCATGAACTTTGAGGTGAGTCCCCATCTGCCTTCGAGGGTGCAGCTAACCTTAGAGAAGCTTTGTCGGGTCGGTCCCTTCTGCCCTCGTGGGAATTACACAGGTTTGAGTGCTCCCTTGTCCCAAGCTGCCATGTGACTCTTTGTAACAGGAGGCCAGCCAGGTGGCAAAGCTAAAAGAAGAAAACTGCCCTCAAAACCCCTGGAGCTGTCCCTGCATGCAGGGAGTAGGAAAAGGAACAATGGCTCTTGGTGCCTGTTTCCAGATGCATAGCCAAGGGGTCCTCTGGCTTTTGTGTGTGGAGAACCGTCTTACCCCTCTGTTCCAATGCTCTCTGTTGCCTTTCCCTTTCTCCATAGGTCCCGTTTGCGCCCTCTGGGCTGAAGGTGCGCTACCTGAAAGTCTTTGAGCCAAAGCTGAACTACAGTGACCATGATGTGATAAAATGGGTGAGGTACATCGGCAGGAGCGGGATCTATGAGACCAGATGCTAGCCCCAGCAGGCTGGCGGGCTCCCTCTTCTCCAAGCCATCCTCCACCTCTCCTCAGTCTTCAAGTACATTCAGAGAAAACATCTGCCTGGCCCCTCTACGCAGATTGAAAGCCCTTGTGGCTCACCTTGGGAGCAGGCTTGCCTGCCTACGCTCAGTTACCACCCATGCTGCAGCTGAAGTTCAGAACCCAGTCGCGCGCAGGGGTGCGGTCAGCTTCCTGCTCCCCATCCCAGGGTGGGGAAGGGCTAGTCTAACTCCCATCCTCTCGTGATCTTTCTAGGGAACGTCCACCATTAAACTCCTCCTCTTCTGTTGGTGTCTCACTACTTGCATCATATCCTAGTATTTTTGAAGTTCTTGTGCATATGTACTCGTAGAATAGACCTAAACATAGACTGGACAAATCTGAGTTGAAATTACCCTGGCTTCTGTACTAGCTATTGCTGTTGTGGTAGATGTTGCTGGCCAGTCAGAGATGCCTGGGGTGGTGAGTTTGTCGGGCCTCCACCAGAGGAGATGGCGGGCTCACCAGATCTCACCACCACTTTATATTTCTTGCAAAGTCGTCAGTATAGAGTCCTGCCGTGGGAAGGTTTGTGACCAAAAAGGATGAGGGTTTAGACTCTTGCTGGTGTGTATGTGGGTGGCACAGCATTTCAGGTCCTTGGAGCACTTGCCCCCGCCCACTGCTGGCTTGAGCCAGTCTGTCCTTTCCAAACAAACTGGAAACATGGCCCCTCTGTCCCAGGGAGTGCGGGTCAGCTGAGCTCTGTCAGGATGTGAACAGGGTCTGTCCTTGGGGAATCTAAAATGCAGTTGGCGGTAAGAGCCCCCTGCCCCAGCCTGCCCTCTCCACACTTCTACCAAACGCTTCTGGGCCATAGGAATGCTGCTGCTACCCACAATCCTGCTTCTGGTAGTGTGGTCTCCATTTTGTAAACTTTGTGATTTGTCCAGCTCAGAATCTAATAAAGTATGTAGAACAGAGGAGGCTACCTGCGCTGCTGTTTGGGACTCGTGGTGGTAAGAGCCTGGGCTGTGCTCTGGGCCTGTGCTGGAGTGTCTTGGGGCCTGATTTTGCCATGTCCCCAGCCCCAGGCTGCCTGGGGTTCAGTACGTGGGGGAAAAAAAAAAAAAAAGGGATGCTTTTGTTTCCAGCTGTGCTGGTGCTCCATTCCAGCTGCTGCAGGTCCCTGGGGAAAGGAGGGTGCTCTGGGCTTCCCCCTCACCACTGGCTCACCAAAGCCTGTGTTTGAGCTGAACTGACCTTTGCTGCCCTCTGGGTGAGGTCTGGCTTCTCTGCCTAAGCCTGGCCTGTGTGAACCTTGGTGGCTTTTACATGTGAGCAGCTGAAAAGGGGGGGGAAAAAAAAAAAACAAAACCAAACCCCAACCAAAGGCGTTTTCCCTTTTAACTTTGCTTTTGGAGGCTGGGGCTAAGGAGGGTGATTTTTTTAAAAGGGGGGGGGGGCAT